ACACAAGGAGAGTAGGGCTTGGCTTCTCAGAGCAGTGCTTGGCAAGCACAGAGGCAGGAAACGCAGAAGGGAATGAGTCTGTCAGACTCATTTTCTTCTAGTTCAAATGTTTATTTCAGATTCGGGAGGAAGTGGAGTGGTTCCTTTCCATTTCCTCCTCTCTGGAACCTGTGAATTGTGTAAGGCTTAGAGAGTCTCACTCTACCACACACTATCCTCACCAGTTCACAGATGGAGAAAGAGACTCTTTTCAGAAAACTCCTGGTTTGAACAGAGCAGAATTCATAGCTCTCTGTGCCCTCCCAGGACCTTCTCTTATGGTTTGAGACTAGAGCCTTGAGCAGGACAACCGAGAGCAACACAGAGGACAGGGCTGGTGGGCTCGGGAATATCCTACACCAGCTCCCAAGGGGCAAGCACCATGCTCCGACTGACAATAGTTCCCAGCCCTGCCACGTGGCACACCTTAGACCACTGCTCAGCCAGGGAGGTCTGACATAATTTGTGAATGCCACAGTGAGATCTGGTCCCAAGCCCACTTTCTAGGTTCCTGAGACTCACTGTTTCTGACATCAGGATGGAGTTTCAGGAGCAAAACTTAAAATATACCTGTTTTAGTAATGAACTGATTTCAACCTTAAACATGCTGACTTTCCAATCCACACTCTGATATCTCTATTTTATTTTATTTTATGGCAAGCTATTTAAATCACTGCACTCATCAGCTCAGCTCTGCAACTTGCTTTATTGTCTATGCAATTGACACAGGTCATTTTTAATGCCAAACGGAGACCATCAGAAACTAAACTAGAAAATCTTATGGTGAGTTTACTACTAAACTCTAACAGATGTGCCTGACTCTAACTGTAGGCATTAGGACTGAAGCATAATTTTAGGTACAAATTACTTACTAAGAATATTTATAGACAGAGAAATTCAGCAAAGACCCTAAGACATTTAACACAGATTATCCTGTAGTTGAGCAATTGATAAGGAAGCCAAACATTGTAAATGCATTAATTATGGTTTGTTTAGGAAAGTTTCCAGGGCAGAGTGCTTGATCTAATCACAATGGTTTTGTCAAAGAGTTTTAAAAGATGAAAATCTGACTCATTATCTCTACTCATAGTCTACTTTTTTTTGAATTGTATTACTGTTTGGTAATCACTAACCATGTTTACCAAGATCTATGCACATAAAATACATACCCTTAAGTGCAACTATATTTACACTTACTCATATATTTACATTTGCACATCCAATATTACATCTAGCTTTTATGTTATGTTCTGGATGAACACCTGAAACTAACTAACACTTCCATATACCAGAATTCCCTCCTAAGAGCCATTTATTATGATACATGTGAGCTAACAATATATTGAAGGCATATTACAGTAGATACAATCACAATATTCGCTTTAGAAACCGAAAGTAGTCAAAATATAAATTGAATTGCCATCTGATTTTTTAAAATCCTCTCTACTGGTCACTAACTAAATAGGGCAGACTGTAAGTACAGTAAAGCAATAAGTCTTTTTAATTAAGAAAAACCAGGATGAAGTGGGGGGGGGAAGGAAACATAAAGAAACATTGTAAAGGTCATAATGAGACAAACATTTCTACTTGAAGATATTTTCACTAAAGGACATTAAAGGCAAGCTATGCCAAGTCATGTACTTTTCACACACAAAACTATATTGTATCAAATTTAAATTTGTTACAAGTGCTTTGTACATTAAACCAGTGATAACGAAAATGTAACTCAATATCTGATCTAGTGAAACAGCAACCAACATTAGCTCCCAGCCACATGAAGACAATCTCCAATGCCATTACTGGTGTCAGCTAAACCTCTGCCAGTGTGTCTTCTCTGTCCATTTTTAAATAAATTTGTGACTATCTCAATTAGGAAATCTTGAAGGAAGTCTCTATGATGAGGCAATTTTGTTGCTCATTCTCAGCTCCCTGCATTTGCTGTACTTAAAATAGATGCTTATACCAATGTCCTTTCTATTACCCGAAGGAGAAAAAAAATCACATACACACCAGTCCTTTTTCTTTCAGCTCGCAGAGAAGCAACTTGATCCAACCAGTGTTGAAACCTGAGTAGGTCACTGTACACCACGATAAAATTCCCTAATCCCTGAGCCAACTCTCCCTAAGGGGGGGCCTCCTCCGGATCCTCCACTTCCCAGGCTGACTTTTGCATTCGCTCTCTCCTCTTTCCCCCTTTCATTTCCCCTACCTTCAAGCCTTGATATGTGATCCACGGTGGGGCTCAGGTTTCCGTTTTTACAGCTTAGGCCGTGCTAGCTGTATACATTCCTTTCTTTCTGCCGGGCTGTGATTACTTACCAGGGCTTAGTTTACACTGGTCCAGATGAAAGCCGTTCAGATGAAGGCAAACACAGCCAGGCAGCTCCAACGGCACCGATATGAAGCTGCACAAGGCCACATTGTGTTCTCGGTGACATTTTGTTGCACATATTTTTATGCAGGGCAACCAACTTGTTAGGTTACTCTACACTTTAGGTTTGGGGAGATGGAGGGGTAATAATACCATGAGGTTCAGGGAGGGGTTTTATCGATGTGGTTATTAACATTAAAAGCAGAAAAATCTTCATGAGTTCAAAATAACCCTTCCAGCTTTTGACTTTGAGAAATCACTTTTAAAATGAGGACTTTTGGTGCTATTAAATTAGAAGAATGCATACCGAACAATTCCACTAGAAATGGGATTTCATGACTCACTGGCATGATGTGCATTGACACGACTGAAGATTCTGACCCAGTGTCTCTTACACATTGTTCCGAACTAGGGAGAAAATACTGATCCTTCAGGCAATTGAATTATTTGCTGTGTAAAACTTCTTATTTAATGCTACTCTGTACTGAAATGATAAGGATTAAAACTTCAAATAGTAGGTGGTGACTTGGAAGAAAAATAACATTTTAAAAAGAGGAAATTCCGTGCACGAACGTTAATTCCATACTTAGTCCTGCAGCATTGGCTAAAAATTGTGTAATTTTTCCCCTTCACACAATGTTGTTTTTGTTTCTTCCTCACCAGTTCAGACAAACATCTGTTATACTGTAGAAGGACAACTATCTCCCAAACCACGGAGTGCTCCCACAGCCAAAGTCAACAACGTGAGCCCCAAGCATCGAGCACAGTCAGCCTTTATATCCAGCCGGGATAACATTTCACATGTTTTGATTAAAATTAGCTAATTTGTAATTCTAGAACCTATGAAACTTAAAAGCTGCCATCCATATAGATCACATTAGACAGTGTTTTAAAGGGCCAGTGCACACTGTGACTTCTTAGTGGCTTTACCTCTTTCCTCTTCCTCCACTCCCAATTTAAAATGAAATGGAAAAGTAATCTGGAAATGCAGGACAGGAGGGAAAGGAGAGTGAGGAAGGATGGTTATTGTAAACTGTTTGAATTCCATCCCCATGGGAAGACAACTCCTGCTGGTCTCTTTTTGAAAACTGTCTATCAATGGAATCAATGGAGGTTTCCATCACAAGGAATGGCACTGATTTCCAAGGCAAATCTTCCTTAACTCTCCTTGGACTGATGCTGCACCTCATGCTTCCAGGCACTAAATTCGTCACCCAGAAATAAAAACCCTTATTCCAAAATGCAGATTGCTACAAACATTTTCTGGAAGAAAGGAACGCTAAGCATAGGCACCTAGGTACAGATATAGGATGTATTATCCGTGTGCCCCTTTCTAAACATGGGCTTCATTCAAGGCACTCTCTAGAATATGCTTGTTCTAATCAAGACAACGTCAAACCGCAATAAATTTTACTTAGTTGCTTGCCATCTTCATCGTTTGTCTTTTAAATAGCAACTTAACCAACCTGACCAAGTCAGTGGGCAGTGTTAAGGATTCTATGCAGAAGATGGGGAACACCAAGACGGCTGCAGAATGAAAACTAAAGTCCCCCCTGAAATCTGCTACTTGTTTGTAACTCACAGAAAGACAATAAATACAAATAAAACAATTTTTTAAAAAAATCAAGAGAGACTCGTGAAATCAACACAAAACAAAACCCTCACTGGGCAAAAGCTGCAACTTCATGGAAAATAAGTGGGGGGGGGAACGAGGGGGGTCCGGAGCCGAGCGGTGCTCTTGTGCAATCACTCCAACGCGAACAGCTGGAGCGCCAGGCTGCTGCGCTCGCCACCTCTGGAGCACCGCTGGCCTGGCGGGGAGCCCGGCCTCGCCGACAGGACTCCGGGCTGGCCTTTCCGAACAATGGGCAGGCGCTCTGCGAAGGCGGCCCCTCAGACAGCTATCTTGCACCGGGGTTTGCCCGGGTCTGCTTAACTGGGAAGTGGAGCATGCAAAGACGAGCGGGAGGCGGAGGCAGTCGAGTGAGAGGAGCGAGCAGCTGCGTGCGAAGCGAGCCGGCCGTCAAAACGGTACCCAGACCCGCGCCGCTCGGGCCACAACTCGCCCCGGCACTGACAGCCCCTTTTACACCGTCGCCGCTGGCTTCTAGTCGGGAAGCGGGATCGAGGAACGGGGAGATGAACTGGGGAGAGGGGTGGGATCCAGCGCTCCCCGGCTGCTCCGGCCCGACGGCTCTTAACTTTGGAGGGATCCCGGGGATGGCTCCCGAGGAAAAGGAAAAAACTACCCCACCGACTAGGAAAGCCCCTTCACCATACCCACCCGCCACTTGGGCTCCCAGTCCCCTCCCTCTGAAACGCGCCTGTTACCAACCTGGGGTTTATAAGGTTAAATAGTATGTGGTTTCCCGGCCGCCCCTCCACCCCCATCAAATCTGAGGAAGGCAAATCTCGGGGATGCAGCCCGAGAGTTGGCCTCGGTTTGCACCTGGAGGAGGAGCTGAGGCGTTCTGGGCATCCTACAGAAACTGACAAGCGCTCCCCTGTACCCTCCGAATCTATACAACGGCCCAAAGGGAGCAGGCGGAAGAAAGAGCTCAGGCTCTCTGGCCCCGAAGTCCAAAAATACCTTCATTTCCTCATTGATCTCCCTTTTCACTGGGTGAGCCGGTTTCCTGCTTCTTTTATTTTCCGGAGGTCTCCCTTCTTTCTCCATTTCTGCCATGTTTTTGTGTCTGGTTTCTGTGGAGATGAAATGGCTGCTGCCGCCGCCGGCGGTGGTGGCGGCGGCGGTGGTGGAGGTGGTGCTGATGGTGGCAAGGCTGGCGGAGGTAGCGGTGCTGGCGGGGCTGGGGCTGGGGCTGGGGCTAGGCGGGGGGGAGGGAAGGCGGGCACCGGAGAAGCGGGGTCTCTTCTAGCGGCGGAGAACGTCAGTGGCTGTCAGAGGGAAAGGTAGCTCGAGGAGTCTCGGGGATGCCGCCGCCGCCGCCGCTCCTGCTCCCGCTGCCGCCGCCGCCGCCGCCGCCAACGCCGCCAACGCCGCCGCTGCCCCTGCCGCCGCCGCTGCTTCTGCCGCTCCCGCCGCCGTCGCCGCCGCCGCCAGGCTGCATCCTCGGTGCCCCGTGGAGTCGTCAGCCATCTTCCGTCGCTCTGTCCGTCTGCATGGGCGAGGGGAACGTGGGCCGGGCGCGGAGAGAGCGGCTCTGGGCGTGCGTGCGTGGATGTGTGTGTGTGTGTGTGTGCGCGCCCAGGAGAGCGCGCCAGCCCAAGCGCCCAGCGCCTCCCGCTAGCCGAGCCGGGGGCGGGCCGGGGGCCGGCGCCGGGAGGAGGGGGCGGGCGGGGGAAGGGTGGGGGGGCTAGGACAGCCCCCAGCTCCCGAGCGGGCGTGGCTTCCACCGTCACTGTAGACGCCGATGCTGCGCGGCTCCGGGGGCTGCTCGCGGCCGTTGGCTCATCCGCGGCGGGCACCGGCGGGACGCGGAGCCCCTCACGCCCGCTACCTCGGTACGACGCCTCCCCGGGCCCTCACCGACTCCGGCCGTCCCCCTTAGCTCCGTGATGAAGGCCCGGGTGGGCTCGGAGTTGGGTTTTGAGCCCGAACTAGAAGCTGCTGAGGAAAAATGAATGTGGTTGAGGGGAGGAGGTTGGGCGGTGGGAGGGCGCGGGGACCCGAGGTCGCGTTGCTAGAGGTCTGCTTTCCTCCCCCCCGAAGAAGGCAGACTGAGCTCGCCCCCTCCGGATGGCAGCGCCGGGGTCTCGGAAGAAGGAAACCACAGTCCCGACCTCCCCACCGCTGCCAGGACAGTGTCCCCTTCTGGGGGCCACCTCCGGGCTCGTGAGGCTGGAGGCCCCTTGGAGAGACCCCCGCGCCCTGCTCGGCTGGTCCCCAATGCGACGCGGGCTACGTACGACTGCGCTTGCTAGAAGGCTTTTGCCTCTCAATGAACCACTTAGAAGTAGGACATCTCGGCCTTCAGCTCCCTGCTCTTTTTTCTTTCTTTTCCCTCCAGTTCTTTCTCACTCTCTCTCTCTCTCTCTCTCTCTCTCTCTCTCTTTCTCTCTCTCTCTCTCTCTCTCTCTCTCACACACACACACACACACACACAACGTCTCACTACAAAGTAACAGCCTTACCCTGTGACCCCGCGCGCACTCTTGTCCCGGTGCCCTGAGTTTAACCCCCCAAAGACTGGGTGCTGCTGGGAGCGCAGGGTCCCGCGTGGGTTCCATTCTCCAGGGAACGGGACTCCCTAGCCACCTCGGGCGGGACCCACCCTACCCGCTGGGTGCACTCTTTCCCCTAGACTTCCCTGCGTGCGTCTGTTCTCCCCGAGACGTGCTCGCTCCCCCTGTGCTCGCTCGCCTACTCTTTGGGCCTCTCTGTCCACGCCCGGGGCCAAGCTCGGATGGCGTTTCTCCCTCTCTGGGTTGAGGCATTGGCCTGAACGTTTTGATGAGTTTTCGGTGAGACACGCAGCCCTAAACCGCTCGTACACGCGGCGGGGAACACATTGACGTCCCGGGCTTCGCTTTCCGGCGCCGCGACACTTCGTAATTACCTGACACAATGAGATATGGGGGTGTCCATTGTTCCACTGAGTGTTATAATGGAGTGTGCATTCTGACAGTCAATGGAATTTTAAGTCAGTGGAACTTAAAATTACACATTTTTTTTTAAGTACTAAAAGACAGAATGAATTCGGTGTGCGGATATGAGTAACCTTTCCATTAAAATCTCAGTTTGGCCTGTCAAACGAGGCTCGTCCTGGGTATTACACTGCCTAATTTGCATTTTGGCATTGTTTTGTTTCTTAAACGTCAAATTAGAGCTCTTTGGGAGCGTACTCAGGAGGGCTGAGTATCTCCATGTTGGCTATTTTGCCTTTTAGCATCATTTTGTTTCGTAATGGTCAAATTACAGATGCTTGGGAGGGTACCCAGGAGACCTGAGCACCTCCTCTCGCCTCTTCTCTTCCCTGCCTGGAGAGGAGGCTGCACCCGGCTCCGCGTGGCTAGTGGATCCCAGGCGAGCCAAGAGGCCAGAGGGAGCGGGGCCGAAGAAGGCTCCGCAGCGCCTGCAAAGGGTCCGCGCGAAACGCCCCAAGGAAAGTTAAAAATCCTGGGGCGGTTATCCCGGACGCGAAAAAGTCAAGAGGCGAGGGTCGATGAGGTTTTAGGGAGTGCTCTGCCGTACAGGGGCCCCCTATTCGAGATATTACCGGTAGCTTCTGGGAGTGAACCCAGGTATACACAGGTTGTGAGCCCAAGTGCTCTGGCCAGGTCACGCAGCCCGCAGTAGCCCACAGCTTATCTAAGACGACCCAGGCAGCAAGGATGCGGGGAGGAGCCCAAACCTGTTTGCACTAACCGCCCCCCTCCCCCTTCCTGGAACGTTAACACATTTCCGAGTGTGTGAGAGTGGGTGTATTTCACAGTGAGGAATAAACATCCTAATGCCGTTGCTGGAAGGGAGAGAAGAAGAGGGAATATTTTTGATTTTTCAATCTGAATTTCATCCAAAATATCTGATAAATGGTATGTGGGTGGGAGTTAGTTTGTCTTCTCTGTTTTGTCCTCTTGGTCTTTAATGAAAAATAGTGAGAAAACTTTTTTTGGACTTTCGAATATTCTAAAAGTGTGGAAACATATGTTATAAAGTGTACACAAAGAGAAGCTTTTTGTCTTCTGGAAACATATTTAAGTCCCCTCTGTTTCCTTTGGTGCCAGAACCATTACAATTGATTCACTGTGTTTCAGCTGATATCAAATACCAAGTTATATACCCCAAGTCCTAAGATACAGTTTCACAAGTTAAGAATAAACAGAAAAGGTGAACTGTAGCCCAGAGTTATATTTAAAGGCAGCTATACTTCCTTTAAAGAAAATTACTTGCTCTGCCATTGTTCAGGCATTTAATAAAAATAGTCATATTAATCGGCCACCTGTTCCTTCAAAGGCATATGTCCTCCAGAAAACCGAGGTGAGATTGTTGAATTACAACCCACAATGCACATCTTCAGTGACAGAATGAAAGCTCATAAAGTATGTGTGAGGAGACTTTTAGTCTAGAATAAACTTCAGAGCTGATGATTGTTGCACGTTGGCAATGACAAGGTGTGGGTTTCTTCAAATGTGCTACAGATGAGGACAATTATAACAAGTTGCTGCTTTATGAATACCATGAGTCCAATAATATTCCCTGGATAACTTCGTACAGCCTGTAAGAGTATAACCTTATGTGGACAGGAACAATCAATCTCATACTTATCTCAGAAGAGCCACTCTTTTGCTTCTTTGACTTAGCCTTATGCTCTCCGATCATCAGCTTGTTCTCTCTCTCTCTCTCTCACATACACACATACACAAACGCACCAAAGACAGACCCTGGACGTAGAAAAAGTCTTCAATTTTCCCTTTGGTGACTAGTCCTGCCAGTCACCAAAATAAGCACGGGACTGACCTTTCATGCATTCATTCCTCAGTTATATTTTTGTGACTTCTTTTACTCGTCAAGGTTGCTCTTGATGTTTGTTCTAGCCTGATTCCTCCAGAAAATACATTGGAGAGTGGATAGGAAGACCCCAGGGTGATCTGCCTTCAGCCCTCAACCCCTAGATCTGCTTCTTTGTTATCTCCAAGAACACCTAACTGGAGGCCCAGTCTTCATGCCTGGTAAGGAATTAATAGATATTTGCTGATTGAGCAGTATGACATAATGACAAACTTACTTTTGTATATTGTTTGAAATTAATGCTCATTTTGAACAAGCTCTGTGATCTAACCAAATGTGGTGACTAAAATATGTGGGAAAATTACTATGCTGGAGACATTATTAGAACTGTCTCATCTAACATCCACAAAACCCTATGAGGCAGCATCTACTGTGATCCCCATTTCACAGATGAAGAAACTAAGGGTTACACAGCTAAGTTATTAAGTCACAAGCTAGTAAGTATTGGGATTTGAATCCATAACTTTCTGTTCACCTCTGGATTTCGAGTTCTTGACACTATACTAATCTTCTTTGACAAATTCCTTTTAACAATCTGTATTTTATATAATCTAAGACCCACATTTTTCTAATTTTAACATCTCTGAAATTGTGATATATCTTACAAGACTTCTTTCGATTATAAGTGACAGCTTTTTTTTCCCTCCTTGGTATATGAAATAATAGTGTATTTTCCAATCAGTGGCATATTTGGTTATGGTAGTTTATGCTGCAATATCAAATCGTTAGAAAATCTAAGAGACTTAGAAGAAAAGAGGGGGCTTCCCTGGTGGGGCAGTGGTTGAGAGTCCACCTGACGATGCGGGGGACGCGGGTTCGTGCCCCGGTCTGGGAGGGTCCCGCATGCCGTGGAGCGGCTGGGCCCATGGGTCATGGCCGCTGGGCCTGTGCGTCCGGAGCCTGTGCTCCACACGGGAGAGGCCACAGCGGTGAGAGGCCCGCATACTGCAAAAAGGAAAAAAAAAAAAAAAGAGGTTTATACTCCTTGCTCACACAAAGTCTGCTGAAGATCTGTGTGACTCTCCAGAGCAACTGTCTTCCATGTGACGGCTTGGCATTGCACCTCTGTACCAGCATGTACTTCCATAGCCACTAAGTAGGAGAAGATGGAGCCCTGGAGGATCTCACACAGCAATTAAATGCTCCAGCCTGGCAGTGACATAGGTCACTTCTGCCTCCAATCCATTGGCTAGAATTAGTCATATGGCTCTGCCCAACTGCTAGGGAAGCTGGGAATTGAATCCACCATGTTCCCCAAAGGACAGGAGAACTGGATATGGATGAGCATTTAACATTTGTACCACAATGTTTTCTTCATTCACTGAAATATGGTCATTAGGATCAGGTAATGTAATATCATAGATCTATTTTATTCAAATCCAGTGAGCAGCAATTGGCCTGTGATTTGTTATAGTCCATCTTAAGCATACATTCAAAATTCGTGCTCATGTTTAACTTCAAAGAACAAAATTCAGAATTAATTTCAAAAAGAACATTATGAAACAGCATAACTATAATGCAGGGGCTTTAATCAAGAGCCTACAGGTAAGCTTCCAGGGCTTTGGAACCTCCTGAAATGATATACAAAATATTCAGTGCATTTTTTCCTGAGGAATGGGTACATATCTGTCATTCTCAATTGGGATTCATGATTTATTCATTCTTTTATTCAACAAATATGTATTGAGAGCCCACTATATTCCAGGAATGGTGT